CTCTCCAGCTGCAAGCTCTGTCAAACCCATTCTTATGCACAGCATCAGGTTCACAGAACTGGTCCAGCCTGTCTGCTGGGATGGTGCTGCTCTGCACCTGGACCAGACCCAGGACAACCTGCAGCCACTTAGCTGCTACCAGATTGCCAGTGTCAGGCACTCTGAGGTAATACCGGTGGCTAGGAGTGAGTGTGATGTGCTTACAGAGGATGTGAAAAGGGTAACCACTATTCTGTGCATGCCTTGAATACTCAGGCCCAGACTGGTAACAATGTGCCCTACAGATCCATACAGCATTGCTCTGTCTGCATATTCAGTGGCAGGTTTTCAGGAAAAGACCTTGTCCAAGATTGGCAGGACACAGAGTCCTTGCTGCTACTCCTCTTTATTTGCTTGGTCCTTGGATTCATATGCTGGTGATTCTGTTTCCCCATAAACAGAAAATGAAAAGAGATGCTAATAATTTAGTGAACCTTGCTGAGATCTAAGAAAGCAAAGAGCTGTCCAATAAAGACACCTAAAATTGAAAGCAAATGTAAGACTCAGGGGATCGTTGACCATCAACCAGATCAGATACAGAAGCACAAGCAGACTTCTGCCTGGGGTGACAAACAGGATGTCACAGGGTCCATGAGCGCAATCCTTCCAGCTTACGAGCTGGGCATTGTGGGCTGCCCGGTGATAGTAGGGTCAGCACATCTTAGTGTACAATTATGATTGGTAATATTTGGTTACAAAATGAGGATTTTCCCTCTTGAAAATCATCACCAGCAAAACTTTGAAATTGTTTGGGTTGGTACTTTCCCCATCAAGCCCCTGGGTCTTTCCTGTGGTGAGAAATATCATGGCTGTGGTGCTGGCACGTGGAAGAAGGCCCAGACTCCCCAAAGCATGCATGAGTCGTGAGAGAGCAGACTCCCGGCATGCACTTCTGCAACATTTTGAGGTTAAAATCCTAGGAAAGGAAGAACTGGGGGGTGCTGTTTTTCAATGACAGGCGGTTCTTGTCAGTGTGGTGACTATGGGGCACAGGTTGGGCAGGGAGTGGAGGAGGACCACAAGTTCCCAGTGCTCTGCAGTCATGGACACGGTTCCATAGCCAATGGGCTACACTATGCCCCCAGGCCATAAAACATCCCCAGCAACCTGGAACAAACAGAACGAGTACAAAAACCACAAAAACCCAATGCTGAAAGATAAGTTCTTGGATCAATAATGCCCTGGGTTTGGGCCAGCACTTTCAGCACTGTACAAGACTGAGGCTCCAAGGGACAGAGACTCACAGACCTCTCACTTGAGCTTCTCCTACTGTCGGTGAGGCCAGCTCAGCCTCAGCTCTAGCAGGGGTTTACTCTGCTCCAGCCAGTGTGGTCTGGGGACAGGGGAAGAGGGAGAGATCCAGTATCCCTGGGATGGAAAGGGAAAATGGAAACTATCAGAGCTGGTGCTCTGGAGGGGCTGAGGTGTGCAGGCTTGTGGGTGCCCAAGCCAAAGGTGGGATAGGCAGGGTACCAAAGGATGCCAAAGATGTGGTGCAGACCTTGGGGGAAGGGTATGGAGAGAAGAGTGCCAGGGCACGAGGAAGAGCAAAGTGGGGTTGGGAAGGTGGCACAGGGCAAGAGAGACTAGGAAACACAACCGGCACAGCACACAGTGGGGTGGCAGTGGCATGATGATGTGAAGGTACAACTGGTGGAGCAATTCTGTGGTGCGTCGGGAATGAGCAGCCTGAGGCTGATCTGACAATTCATTCCCAAAAAATGAGACCACATGTTCTTTTCCCCTTTCTCTGGCCCTTTGCCTCCAAGCACTTTGCACAGATGGTCACAGGCACAGGTAGGGCATAGAGCCTTCAGCACCCTCCCATACATGGTCCAAAGCAATGAACTAGGACTGACTCCTGGAGGGAGAAACCTTTCACTTGTGTTATCTGCCCACTACAGGGCACTGTGGGACTGCTCTCAATATGGGCTGTCTCTTTATGCATTCCTGTTTTCCATCCTTTTCAGACACATGATGTTCTGAAGCCAGTAGGGTGTTGAAGTCTCCATGTCCTACCCGTGCCTGTGACTGTCTGTGGAAGGTGCTTGGAGGCAAAGGGCTGAGCTGGTCACGATGCACACACACACACACACACACACACACACACACACACACACACACACGCACACAAAGAGAGAAGTGTTCAATTTTGACTGTGCTAACCCTGCCCAGAGCCATGTGAGTTTCGGGACTATCAGAGTGTGCAGATGAATTGGCAAAGGGAAAATGGGTGATCAGGTTTAATTTACAGGAAATGCTTGAGCTAGTAGTTTGGATCCTAGGGCCTGTACAACCCTGTCATCGTAGTGCTGGGCCTGATTCAGAGCTGGTGCGTGATGGTGGTATGTAACTGTGTAACAGAGGCCTCTCTTCTTCCACAGAGCTGGAGATGGCCCCATCGGTGCATGCCAGGAGGCTGGGGCACAGGAGTGACTGCCCTTTTCCGGCTGTGGGCATCACCCCCCACCCCTCATCACCCCAAGAGCAAAGCTGTGCACCAAGTGATGTGATGGTGTGTGCACTGGCTCAGTGAATGTCAGATGGTGGCAGAGACTTTTCCCCACAGCAAGCACTGTTTCAGTGTGGAGTGGCCTGCTAGCCTGGGAGGCAGCTGGGATTCATGGTGACAGGACCTAGCACCCATCCCTCCATCAGGCTCCCTGGGTGACGGAGCCAGCTTCCTGGGTATTTTTGCTGAGCAACGCACCTGGACACACACACATTGAGAGACAGATATTGAATGGTGACAAAGTGCTCAGCTGGGCTTTATGGTCTGAATTGAACAGGCTGAGCACTAGCAATTAAAAATCCCAGAGCAAATAAAGCAGGGTGTTGGTTAGTATTGCCCTTCCTTATGTATAGCTTCAATATCTAACTAATGCTTGTTACGAGCTCTTATCTGGAAGCACATCAAGGAAATTCTTAAAGGAGGTAGTTCCAAGGGCACACGGATGAAAAAGCACCCTGAGACCTGATGGTGGAGGGTAAAACTGAACTCCTGGTTGGGGCATCCTGCCAAGTTCGGGGCTTTAAAATAGTGACTTACGCTGCAGCTACCGAGTTCCTTGAGGAGTGGAGAAAGCTTCCTGGATGCTAATCACAGCCACTGCAAACAAGACAAGAAATACGTATTTAAAAAAGGTAAATAAAGTGGAAACTTTTCTTACTGGTTATGAGAGGCTTTATCAAAAAATTGTGCAAGGCTAGGAGAGAGCAGCTGCCTGGAGATATCTCCTAAGTCGTTGGTGGGTTAGGATCAAAGTGGTTTGGAGATCTTCGTTCTGTCTTATATGTTGTGGGGTATATGTCTTGGGGCACTGACCCGAGTGAGATGCCAAAACTGAAAAGAGCTCAGTCTAGTTTCAGCTCTGATACTCACCAGTATGCCAGTGGGGAGCATCTCTCCTGTCTCTGCTTTCTTTTTGTTTGGCCTACTGTTATGAAATTGTTAGCTCCTTGGGCAAAAGTTTGCTAGTGATGTGTGGGTGCACATCAGGGCCAATGGTTGGGACTTCCTGCTAATGTCATTACTTTTTTCCATGTGGCATACAGCTCCATGCACAGCGGGGCTGCTCATTAAGTCAAGCTGATTGGCTCCACCAGCCTCGCCAGAACAGCGATGGGGAGGAACATACCCTTTGGATGTTGTGAAGGGTGGAGGATGCTGTCCATGCAGTGGTAATCACACAACACATGGACTTTTTCACCCCCTTTTAGGTGTTGGAGTGGTGTTACTACTCATAAATTAGACCAGAACTGAGCCATTTACCGAAGCTCTCAACTGGCCCTGATGTTTCCACATCACCACAAGTACTCCTCCATGCAATATATGTAAAGCGGGGCTGACCTTCACTGTGTGGGGCCCTTTTTCACACGTGCTTTGGGGTCGGGCTGCAGTAACTAGCCAAGGTCCATGTTGCCTGCTTTTTGTGCTTACTGGGCTACTGCCAAATAAATCAGGCACTTTATGGGCTAGCCTAGGATTAAGAAAGAACAATCTCAAAGTGAGTATTCAAATATGGCACTTTTGTACTTAGTTTCCATATATTCAGCATTTGACATCGGGCTGCATATAGCACGCCATACTGGTGCCTGGGTGACACAAGCTCTACTTGGTTTTTCACTGTTTCCTATTACCTTACTGGGAATAAGTCTGCAGCTGGCAAAACCTTCTCAAACACCCAGGAGCTGCACATTGGTATGACGTAGGTATGTCTCAGGCGAGTGGCCGCGTTACTGAGTTTAGCTCGACTCATGGAGAACGTAAGGGCTGTGCTTCTCAGCTGCACAGCTGCACAGCACTCAGAGCCCTATTTGCTTGCTGAAGTGCACCATTTAAACAGAGGTTTTAGTGCTAAGCGACCATACTGGATCTGGATCATTCTTATTGACTTTCTCTATTTGCCCAGGTTGTGAATATCCCTGGGAGGCTGCTCATGCTCCCTGTGCCTCTGCTACCAAAAGTAGTTAGGAGAGAGCAGTAGCTCTCCAGAATCTGCAATTCACAGTATCATCTTATGGGAAAAACTAAACAAATAAACCAAAGAAATTAGCAACTTCTGATTTCCACGAAAGATCTCCCTCCTCAGATTCACTCAGATCTAGTTTATCTATCTCATCAAAAACATGTTCTATCCTATCAACAATCCATTATAGAGTATTTTAAAATCTAACATTATTCCTGAGCTGCATCTATCGCTAACAGAGAGGTGTAGTTGTCCTGCTAAAACCTGGCTCTGCTCTTCCTGACTGTAGTGAAGCATCTTTGTGCGTGTCTAGCTGTACGCACCTTTCCCCTGAGGGTCCATGTGGTTGGGGGATGCTGTAGGGAACAGCAGGCCCTTCCCTGCGCTTTTTTTGGAGCTCTTCCCCATCTGAATGATGCTTTAGAGCTTCCCAGCAGATGACGTTGCTCCTCCAAATGCTAGTTTCCGCTTCTGCTTTTCCGAAGCCTTGGGTTAGTTAAAACCTAGTTCCCTAAAGGGGACCTCGATGTTGGATGTGTACCAGGATATCCAGAAGAGGAGGCTGAAAGCGATCAGCACAGCTCCCGAGTAAATAAAGAAGTCCCAATAGGTTAGTGGAGCAAAAATTCCCAGGAGGAGGATGATCAGTCCCGTCACATCGCATAACAGAGCAAGGAGGAATATCAGAGCACAGCGGCCCACGTATTTGAAGATGACCATGGTGGAGCCCTCCTAGCAGAGACCCTCAGGAAGGGGGTGAACCAGCAGGCAGCATCCCAGCACTTGTATCTTCCTCGCTGCTTCACTTGCTGCCAGGAGGAAGTACAAATGTCACAACACACCTTGCAGAACAATCGGGAGGGAGCACACGATATTGCTTTAACTGTTTCATGCCCCTGCCATTGCATTGCTTCTGCCTTTGCTGCAGCACATCTCAGGGGTGCATTTCTCTGCAAGACATGTATGAGACCCCTGCGGAATGGATCTGCTGTTGGGGTACCCTGTAATCAGCCTGGGTGGAGGCCGATTACACCCAGCCTGCCTAAAAGGTGCAAGTCTGGTCCTGACTCAGCCCTCAAACAGGCCGCACTCCTTTGATTTGAGAGTACAGGGGTCTCATGTTGCTTTTGGGTGGCATCTGCCATACAAGGATCCCAGTAAAGTTTGTACAACACTGGCCCTACCTTCCCAGTGACAACCTGGGAATGTTACAGCCTTCTCCTTTCTTTGACAGGAAAACTGAGGCACAAGACTTTGTCCAGAGTGTCAAAAATACATCCCCCTTACAAAACCTCCAAAAATCCGGTCTTGCTGGATACCTACAAGTCAGACAACCTATGTTCACTGCCCATCCCAAAAATTGGAACCGAGCAAGTCAGTGATGAATTACAGAAGAACCCAGGATTTCTCAGACCTGCTGGCTTTTCTCTTAGTGAGCCAGTGTCATTTCATGGGATCCAGGGTTGCTAATTTCTGCTCCTGAGTTGCTGTGTGACTCTCAACATATTATTCCTCTCCTGTCTCACCAGTCTGTGTAGCACTTGACAAAAAGTGGTGCTGGGCAAGTTTGAGGGAGGTGAAGAGTCTTGAGAGCCCTTGGCACTGGCAGAGTAGCCCAGGACATGAACACCACACAGCTCCTAGGCTGTCTGCTATCTGTCCCATCTCTTGGCCAAGCAGAGGCTGCCAAATCTTGAGAAAGGGCCACTGAGTGTAAGATCAGTGTTAGGACTAGAATGGTCCTTGGGTGCGGGTGAGCTGCTCCAGATGGTCCTGGTTCCAGGGGTTTCTGGGGGTTGGGTCGATAGTGTCCTCCCTCCTCTCCTTGCCAAACCTAGGGCACCAAGAGCCCTTCTCATGCTCAGACAGCCCCAGCCACCGTTCTGCCAGGGACAGGGTCCCCAGTCCCTCCAGCTCTCACACTGTCCCTGGCAGAACGGTGACTGGGGCTATCCGGGCACCTTGGTCGGGTGATTTCTCTCCTGAATGAGGAAGACCAAGCACTACAAATCTCCACATTCCTATCTGCTACCCACAGTGTGCGTCCTACAAATGGCAGGCGCACAGCAGAGGAAGCTGCCCAGCACGGGCCTGTGGTTCTCTCTCTCCTTATCTAGGCTGCCGTCATTACAAACACACTGTTGGCATCACTGGGCTGCAAAATCTTTCTTCCAGCGTGTGCTATTCCTTCCCCAGTGGCAAGGGTATGTCTGTTCCAGGAGACTTTTTCCCCCTGTGTCTGAACAATGAAGGCTTTTAAATAAGCAAATAAATAACTAATCTCTTCTTTGTGCACCATCCTCCTTCGGGGCTAGGAGACAATCTGCCCTTTTCCAACCCAGGATCACACCAGGATTAGTCACCAGAGAGCTGGAGGGAAGTGCCAGGGCCCAGTTTTTTTCCATTCAGGATCTGATCACCCCATTTGCTCTGAAATTTTCCATCATGGGTGCTCAGCCAATAAAATCCCTCACTCCCAAACTCAGCCTTCCCTTCCTCACGGTTGTCTTCTCAGCACCCTATAGACTCCAGGGCAAGCACAACCTGGCAGTCACCCAGAGCTGAGCGTTGGCTTCGCCAGCTGGCCGGCTGCTGGGGTTCAGGCTGGGCTTGTTTGTACATGGATGGTCTGCCCTTACCCCTGCCCTGTGATGGGTGACAGTAGGCTTGGAGCATTGCCCAGTGCCTAATCTGGAGCATTGCCTGGGTGGGGCAGCCCGTTAGGTGGAAATACTACTCTAGATATCTTTTTCTTTAGTCTTTAAATGGACCAGTGTGATTGCGCAGATGGACAGAAGATGGAAATAGAGGTTTGCCCCTCTTTGCTCCCCAGTTCAGCCGCATTTTGGTGAACTGGCCAGAGGTTTAGTGTTGTCGGTGATGGAGCTAGCCTGGTCAAGGTTTTCCAGTAAGACTGAGCCCCATCTCCCTCTGAAGTGGAACATCATTTCTCCTTGTCCTCCTCTCACTCTCACAACTGCATCCAGTTATTGTTTCCTTTCACTTTTCCAAGTCTTTATCTGCTGTCCGCTGAATTTCAGAGAGTTCTTACAATTGATTAAAAAGCCAGTCGTTACTGTAGTGGGAGAGCCCAGAAGATACCCCAAGAGTCTTCTCTCCTTTCCATCCTTGGCTTTCTCCTGGTCTCTGATCCTGACAGACATTAGCCTCATGTGGCAGTGCGGGCATCAACCCAGGAAGCCCCACTGCAGACCCAGGCTCAGACCAGAGACACTGTCCAAGAGCAAACGGCTTGAATGAGATGGATCTGACGTTCAGGTCAACCCATGCCTGCCCAGATCCATGCATTTTAAAGGGCCAGGTGCCACCGTGATCTCGTCAGACCAGACTTAGAGGTCTTCTTGTGGCTGCATCCTATGCCTGGGGCAGACCATCCATGAAAAAGTGGTCAGGAAAACTCTTGGAGGTTGTCATTGCTGAGGAATAGGAGGAATGGATGGTCTCACTCCTCATGGTGGGAATAGCTGTGGCAACTCCCAGTCCCTCTGAAGGAGACATTGTGTAGTGGAATAGCTTCCCTCCAGAAGAGCTCCAAGGCCTTGGCAGTATTTAGTACCTCAGCCAAGGCTTCTGTTAGTCTCTAAAGCTGCTGCTGCTGGGTTAGTTTTAGCTTTTGGAGAAGTTTTTTTCACCAGGCACAGAGAAGGATGGAGCTGGGCCTGATCCAGGCTGTTTCCTCACTGGCACAGTCAGCCAAGACTCCTGTTTGTATACAGGGAGAAGATGCAGAGAGTGATGAAGGGCACCAACGCACAGGAAAAGGACCTTGAAATACCAGCTCTCCTCTGCCAACACTCCTCTCCTTGCCATGTCCCGCTTCTGTGAACCAGGTGTTTGCAAGGTGAGTGCCCTGCATTGCACATCAGGAGTATATCAATTTGCTCTCTAAGAGGAAGGGTTTTCATTTGTCATTTGGGGGCATTTCAGTGATGCTGAGCTATGCCAAACAGCGGGTGGGAGCAGTGATTTGCCTGTGATAGCACTAAAGGAAATACGACACACTAAATAAAATTGCTCTCCCAGTTGGAAAGGAATCCAAAGGTTTCCAGAAGTTCATTCACCTCCAGTTAAGGGTTCAAAAAAGTATAACCAGTTGTATTTTTCTCCAAAGATATTTAAAAAGAAGCAAAAATATGCCTACCTCTTCTGCCTTTTTCCAGCCCAGTTCTGCCATAGCTGGACAGATGATGTTAATGGAAAACGTTTGTCCCCAGAGCTGGTCCAGAACAGGTTTGCAGAAGTATGCGGCAAGAGAGAACCAGTTCTTCAAAGGAAACAATGAATGCTGCTTCCCTAAGTTATATATTAGTCGGGCACAGCAAGAATTTGAGCAGGCAAATGGAAGTGGTCTGACAAAATCTTTGGCTAGCAGGAGTTAGTCAATATTTATTTAACTGCAACATGGATAGATGAACACGAGAATAAGCCTTCAGAAAGTTCATGCCATACAACAGTGAAACCTGGGGAACTCCTTGTAGCACAGACTGAACTTTTAGGAAATATTTACCTGAGGATGAGGAGAAAACAGATGGGCAGTGCAATGCTGTTTAACCAAGCAGCCCAGGGATGGTTCATGCACTGAACTCTCCAGCCACAGCTCCATGGCTTAAGGCTGCCTGCACCCATGATGATAATGGTTCAGGCTGCCCTAAGTGCAGGGGCAGAAGACAAGCTCAGCTCTGGCAGGGAGGAGGAAGCTTGGTCCCCCTCCTGCAGCACACGGGGATTGACTTCTTCAAAGATGAACAGCTTTGTGCAGGGTCAGAGCATTTTGTGGCTGGGTCTAACCTGTGGGACTCAGCTTCAAGAGCTAAGGTGTTCTCCAAACACTTTCCTCTCAAGCCCACATGTTCTTTGACCAGATGAAAGCTCAGAGCAATTTATAACAAGTTCCCAAGACTTCTCTCTGAGGAGGAATGGTAAAAACAGCCCCCTGAAAGACACTGATTGTTAAACACTGACTTTTTGTATCTCTTCATTCATCTGAGAAATGAGCCCAGGCGTCAAAGCGGGACAGGAGCACCAATGAATTTGGGAAGGCTCCTGCCCCCATCCTCCTGCTTAGTCCTGTCTGACAGTGTGAGGGCTGGTGATGCCGATCCTTGGGAAATTGTCCCACAGAGGACAAGACTCCAGCACAGCCAGAACATGGCAGGTTAGCATCCATTCCTCTCTCCTGAGAGAAACTCCCACACTTTGGAGGGTCCTTCACACCCCTTCAGGGCCTATTGAGCCTGGCCAGACCTCCAGTGCCTGGCCCAGCAGGGCAGGATCCAGTAGCACCTGTCCAGGCTTGTGCTCTGAAGTTCACAAGCCCTGGCTGGGGCGCAGTTTCAGTGCTAGCAACAAAGGGTAAATGGCCACTGAGCACCTCGCGGCAGATCTGCAAATACTCCTCAGGAGCGACCTGTAGCCAGAGACATTTCTTTGCAAGCTCATCTGCAGAAGAGCTGTGCAGAGGGAGAGGGGAAGAGACACTGCAGGGGGCTGGACTGCCCGGCAGCAGCCTCTGATGCTGGCAGGCACCACTGTAAAACCATTGCGACAGACTTAACAGGTGAGAGCTGGCTTATACTCGTATTCACACTGCTAGCAGTTGAAGGGCTAATGACCGTTCACAACAGCAGTGCCCCAGGGACAGCTTATTAACTGCTCCTCATTCGATCTGATGTAATCGGCCGTGCACAATTCTATTTGCC